GATAGTGTTCAAGTGAATTAGTAGTGATTTTCTAAGCAACTGTAGATGTAAACTGCAGATTTTTTGACAGAGATGTTTCTCAAATAGTTATTTTAATAACATATTTTAACTTCTAACTTAACTTAATCTAACATTTCTTAAATATTGCACTCAGTCCAAACCTACTCTTGCCTGATGAATCCAACAATTGAATAGGATAATTACTTTGTTCAGATATCAGTTACAGAAAACAAGCTCTGCAAAGAGAAATGTCCCACTAGAAAAGTTCATCCTTGGCATATGAATTGGCATTGACTAAACCTCCACGGTACTTAATTGATCGTAACAAAAGGAAGCTTTGTTTCATCCAAAGAACCTCTCCACAAAACTGAAGATGGCAACAGCTTCAATATCAGCACAATCCAAACAGTAGAAATAACAAGAAGTTGAATGTTCTTTGGGTTATAGTGGCCAGGACAGCAAGAGGAATAAGATTATGCAGCATGCTTTTCCATCAAGAGACAAACAGCATGTCCAGACACCACCACTTGGTGGTTTGAAATATTGTGTAGACATTCTAAAACGCTCTCCTTCAAAGACACTGAGATAACCCAACAATGCAATGCAAAACAAAACGTTTTCTCAATCAAAATGCCCCACTCAGTCTAAGTGGTTAAATGTCTATTTTGAGCTCAATGTCAATCTAAAGCCATAGCGACTAAACAAAAACAAATGTGAGGCAATGATGTCAATACGATGTGGGGACTCCTAGGGGTTTCTGTGCTGGTACTGCATGATCTCAAACTAATATTTTGTGAATAAAATAAACAATTATTTGGCAAAAACACAACATTAAGTCAAAGTTAGTCAATCCAGAACGTACGCGTGATGTTTTCCCCAAAATCTTTGAAGCGCAAATCCCACCCCATAGCTAATTTCATTGGTAAAACTAAACACGTCGCAGTCATCTATCAAGAAAAGTTCCGACTTCATGGATTCACTTCAGAGTTCAATAAACATTACAGTTTAGTCCGATCGTGATTAAGACGTGCTACCAATGCTTTCCACCTTATTATGCTACACAGATTGTGGGAAAGTGGAAGCATTTAGAAACAGCAGCCACTCAGCCAAAAAGTGGAAGACCACATAAAGTCACAGAGTCGCCAAAGCTCTGCTGATTCCATAACTGAAGATTGTCAAAGCACAAAAACTGTGCAGCGGGAGCTTTATGGAATGGGTTTCAATGGCCAAGTAGCTGCATGTAAGCCTCACATAACCAAGTACAATGCCAACAATCAAAAAGAGTGGAGTAAAGGACATTGTTACTGGACTCTGGAGCAGTGGAAATGTCTATAGGTTCATAATTAGAAGAGTAACAGTGCAGTAATAGTAAAACTATGTGCACTACAAACCAGTGTGTATTATTATGATAATAAAATGATATGATAAATACTACTTTGCCATCAAGAAGCATAACATACTGGAAAAATATTTACGGAGAAAAATGGTGACGTGCTCAATACTTATTTTACCCGCTGTGTGTGTGTGTGTGTATATATATATATATACACACTGTATATTAGTGCTGTCAAACAATCGCATCCAAAATAAAGTTTTTGTTTACATAATAAATGTGTGTACTGTGTATATTTATTTTATATATAAATACACACACATACAGTATATATTTTCAGATTATTTACATATATTTATATTCATATAATTTATATTATATATCAATATATTTTATAAACATAACATTTTTCTGAAATATATACATGCATGTGTGTGTATTTATATATACATAATAAATATACACAGTACACACACATATATTATGTAAACAAAAACTTTTTTGAATGCGATTAATCGTTTGACAGCACTAATATTTATATATATATATATATACGGTATACACACACACACACACACACACACACACACACACACAGCAGAAAATAATGTGTTTTTTTAACCTTAAACCGCATAAACACATTTCATTACACCAAATACACAAAATAATGTTCGTTTTAGCATCATCATATGACCCCTTTAATGCACAATTACCATTTTAGATCGACAAACTGTAATACTAAATAAGATTTCTATTCGAACTGAAAACATAAATCTAGGCTATCCGCTGCCATTTTCAAAGCACAAAGCAAAACTGTGACATTTAATTCATTCTTTGCTGACACTTGTCACTCTGCACAGCGCTAAACACAGCAGCGCATATACTTACTTGCCGGCAACACGCCAAAATAAAAGTTTGCTGGTTTTAAGTTTGAAAAAGATCAATTAAAAATTGATATATATAAAAGTAAATATTAGCATTTTATTTTTAAGTCTACTATAAAATAATTTTATTTGTATTTAATACTCCCTTTTTATTTTAAAACAGTATTAAATAGTATTATCACACTTTATTATTTTGATAATTTTATTTAAAAAATTTAAAAAGTGCAATAATATTATTATCACTATTATTTTTTTTTTATAGTTATATTTAATGGGTCACACTATGTGCAGTGTGAGGACCAAACCAAATCTCCAGGTGCTCTTTTGAGAACCAGGCTAAAAAAAATAATGTGCACCCCTGAATATATACTACTACTAATGGGTTTTATAATACTGTGCATATTTATAGATTTTAAGATAATGGCTACAGGAGCATATGTGAGTGAATGAGATAAAATATCAATGATGCAAGCAGTGCAAGTGGTCTGGCTTCTCAAATATGTATCAGCGGATCAGGTCTGTGTGAGATGGGAGTTGCTAACCGATGATTTCCCCAGCACATTGCGAAAAGCGCTAAACTACGCAAACTTCGCAATTAAACTAGACAAGCACCTCTGTGACCCACCACAAATGTTCTTGTCCTGAAAAAGGTTGAGGACCCCTGGTTTAGAGCAGAATGAAGATGAAATGTGTTCTACAGCCTACAGAATAGTGGATGGGGGAAAAAGCGCCATTGTGAACATTTATTTCAAACAGAGAACAAATAACCATTGTACTGATCTGCTCGAACCCACAAAAGACACACCTTTGAGACACTGGCTCTGTCCAACTGTTTAGGAAAAGCATAGGCCTCACTCCAGCTTTCCCGTCCGATGGCTGTTAGCCATCAGCTAAACATGGCAGGAAGCCGCTCAGCTAGCAGGTGTTTAATACACCGCCTCACAAACGAGTCATTTGAAATGGCTGGACATCACAACACGAGGATCTGTAAAACAGATGCTTATGGAGCTGAGGGCTTGCATTTGTCATTTAATGTGAGGCCTGACCTTTCAGCTTGAATCCTGGAGGACGGATGGGATGGTTTCAAAGAAACCAAGAAAAAAAAACTCTCCTTTATAGCACAAGGTTTCAGTAACCTCTCTGTATTAGAAAGGCATTACTGTGCCACAGGATAAATCTGCACTCCACAGACATGTGGTCATCGCGAAACAGAGTAGCAAAAACACCAAGTACTTTAATTAAAGCAGAGCAGAAAGCTTCAACAACAAGCTGAAACTGAAGGTGGCTCAGTGGGACGCCCCATGTTATTAACTCCAAGAGAAGTGGAGCAGAGGATGGGGGAAAGCTGCCTGTTGACAGCTTTAAAACACACAGTTCTCACTTCCTACATCAAGTTGTCATCGGTCCCCTCTGCAGAACTTGTTTAATAAAGTATTTTTATTCATGGTTAAAAATAAGAATGATCACGCAATTGTACAGCAGTTTGGGAAGGGAATGAGTGATGCCTTCAGTGACACCTCATTGAGTCCAGAATCCATCTGTCGGCCGTGTCTGTCTTTAGGCCCTTTTGAGCCTCGGTGGATTATTTATACCCTTCTATTCAAAAGTTTGAGGTTGGTAGGATTTCTCAATGTTTTTCTCAAAGTCTTAACAATCCTGCATTTATTTAATCAAAAACGCAGCAAAAATGTAATATTGTGAAATTATTTTACCATGTAAAATAACTTCTTTCTGAATATATGGCAAAATGCATTTTCTTCCCGCAAATTTGCAAAGCTGAATTTTCAGCATCATTACTTCAGTCTTGGAGAATGTCTGCTCAAGAAACATTAATTATTATTATTAATGTTAAAAACAATTATGCTGCTTAATATTTTTGTGGAAAACATGATTAATCTAGATTCATTGATGAATAGGGAGATAAAAAACTGCATTTATTTAAAATAGAAATCTTTTGTGACATTATAAATGACACTATAATTTATTATTATATTATAAATTATAATTTAATCAATACAATTATTAATTATAACTATTGCAATCATAAATTATCAAAAATACTGTACTTTTGATTACATTAATGCATCTTCCTGACCTCAAACTTTTGAACGTTAACGTTTAATTACTGAAGACTAAAGTCACACTAGTCTTATTAAATCTAGAATATACAGTTATAAAGTTTTTGGGAAAATGAAATAAATGCTCTACAGCAACTTTTTTTTAAACATAAATCAACATGCAACAAATATTAACAAACCAAAAATGTAAAACTGTACAGTCGACTCCACTTTCCTGCAACACTGTACAATAGTCAAAATCTATAAAGTAGACAAGATTTCAGCCAATAATTCTGCACAAACAAAACTTTAAGAAATGTCCCACTTTTCACTTCATGCAATTATCTATTTTAAATTTATAGATGTGGTCCAGATTTATGGCATTTACTAAGTTGAAAACACTTCTTTCCACATCGAAGATGAGAGATGTGTTGGACGTCTCTAAAATCTCCCAGCTTCTGATTAAAGAGAGGCAGACAAATGAATGCATTTTCAGCTTTTGCTCGGCAGGGATGAACGGTCTGTGCACTAATACTGCTAAAACATGTCTGATCTGTTCTCCATAGTCAAAGAAATATCAACAGAGTAATTGCAGAAATGCCAAACAGTTGGTTCAACTTTGAGATCTAATCCAAATACTGGCTATGTGAATCTGGATTGAATTCAAGAAGCTACCAAAGACTGATTACACTGCGATCTGGTCCTATCATTGGGGTGGACACACACCTTTCAATGAGGGTCCCAAACAGCAGTCTGATGGTCCTCTGGATGTTCTCTGTGCAGAGCCAGCTCCACTGATCCTTCATGAGCACACACAGGATATTCAGGGCCTGGTCAGATAGAGCCATCTCACTAGCTATACACAAACACACAAGTACACACAATATAAAGCCATCACAGCTGGAAAAGAGACACTGGTCAGAATCTTTGAAAAGGTGTTTGTAAAATGATTCCCAGAATGACTGAATAAGAGCACAGCATGTTCCATGTCCACAAGTACAACTAAAACACAAAATATGAACACACACAGATCCAATCACTGACATGTTTTTATAATATGGAACATTGAATGACTTTGTTTATTTTTTCCTGCTCAGGACTATGAGAGCTGGTTTTCGTCAATGCAAGGGATACTTGACAACATTATGAAAGTACAATGCTGCCCTCTAGAGTTAATTTACATAATATCACAGACCTAGCCAACACTCTTAGGCCCAATCCCAATTCTATTGTATACCCCTACCCCTTCCCCCTTGAAACAGAGTGTCAAGGGGTAGGGGTGAAAATATTCCCCTAAGAATTGGGACACCACTACTATACGTCACACGTCACCATACGTCGTCTAGCTCCTACAATACACACACCTATACTGGTGTGCTGGTGTGCATTAGAGCTTTTAATTACCGTTCTATATTAATGCGCTGCTTACTGACACACACACAGGGACTAGCCCCCCTCAATGTCTGGTTATCGCCCTGATCAGACATGAAAATATGTTGTGGCACTATCGTGCAGTCTATAATGATATGACGTTAGTTGCAAACATTTCTTTGAGTAACATGACCGTAAATATGAACTCACGATTGAATGTAACATAAAACAAATGATTACTTTCGTTAAAATATTTTTAAAAACCAAAAATGCTTACATGTATGTGTCTTTTTGTTCGCTCGGCCAGCCATGTTGCCGCTGAAGCCGGTTTACGCTGAGATAATTCATACCCCTTCGTTTGAAGTGTGGTCCCGAAAAATCTTCGTTTGAAGGGCTGTCTGGCCCTTCCCCTACCCCTCCAACCAAAAGAGAATTGAGACACCCCTACCCCTTCACGTGAACGCGCGAAACGGAGGTGTAGGTGAAAGGGGAAGGGCCAAGGGGTAGAATTGGGATTGGGCCTTACTGGCATCTAGGGTTCCACGAAGAACCTCTAAAATCCATTAACATTCCATTGCACAAATGGTTCTTTATAGTGGAAAAAGGTTTTTAAAATGAGGCTTGTGTGGGATAGACTTCACAAGTAATATTCACAACTCAAAACTTTCAAAACCATTTTATGGAGTTTTTCTATACTTAAAAGTTTTTGGGGGTTTTTCTCATAAAGACGTTTCATCAGCAACAATCGAATGTTGTTGTTGTTCAACAACAGTACAATCTACTGAACACATTGCACTTCTATACCTCACAGCCTTATTTTTATTCCTGTCAAAAAATTAATCATCACGCTACCCTGGTCCATATGACTTTACTACATTTTAGGAGTGTAACAGTACACGTTTTTGTACTGAAAATTTTTGGTACGGGTCTTTTGGTTTGGTACACATGTGCACCAAAATACAGCATTGTATTTATACAGCATCTTTCAAATTATGTCCATTTGTTTTTTAGGAAATTCAAACAATAAATGCCGTTTTGACGCTCTAATGTGGTGCGACAGATCGCTGTATAAACGCCTCAGTTCAAACGGCATCGCAGAGCATGAGTGAGCGTGATCATCCCTTCCTCTTTACTACTAGCTAGTTTTAATGCGAAATAAACATGAATGAACATCTCATGCCTCATGTAATCGCTCAATCACTGTTTCAACCGCAGAAAAACGTCAAAACAAAATATTTAATTTACGTTAGGCAAGGCATTAGTGTCCACTACGACTGTCAAAATGGCAGAAAAACTAAATTCGAATTTTGCACTTTAATATGATCAAAATTCGAATTATATTCGAATTTAAAATGCATAATTTCAGTTATGGTGAAGAATAGCTTTTGGCTTCTCTTCTGAGGCCACAAGAGGGCGCATCGAGCAAAATATTACTAATGCACGTTTATTCAAAGCATAAGATAACGACTATCTGTGAAAGAAAGTGCACAATGTTTAAAATAATGTTTATAAACCAATTATAATTAA